GCTCAGTATTATCCTCTTCATTGTTGTAGCTTCTATCCTGCAGTCTATGTTAGAGATCGCAGATCCTATTGTTTTGGCACTGGGAGCATCTAGAGACAAGTAAGAAACTTTCTAATATTCCTTAATTTGCTTTAATTCATATGATTTTTAAATTTGTATGTATGTATTTTTAGTCTGCTGTAGGGTACATACACTCACCAGAGGTGGGAGGTAAACATGAGAAATTGTACCCCAGGGGAATGGCCACGCCACAATCTCTTCTCCTCCATCTCCTCTTGGGAGTTTGGGCGTATACACATACATGCTCAGCATGTTTCTTAAGCTGCTAAATCTGGGTTTGGGACCACACAGACTACCTGGGATCCAGCTGCCTAAACCAGGTGCCACCAGCTGGCCCATGCGATACTTTGTATGTTTTCTCAGTACCTGGGGAATTTCTAGATTTGGAAGATGGATAGATAATTTGTTATTAATATTAGCTTGGGTTAATTCAGTAAGTTTACATTTAAAAATTTTTCCTCTGAGATGGTTGACTTTTCTAATGTGTTTTTTGCTTTTGTAATTTCTATATTTAACAGTCCTGTCAAAATCCATGTAATTATAACCAACTTTTTCTTCTTCAGAGATATTTAATACTTTTTATTTTCAGTCAGTTTTAAAATTAAGAACATAGAGCATAAAATTTAGTCTAGTAAATATAACAAATAATAGGTAGTTTTATTCTGTGTAATGCTAAAGGAGAGGGAGCATTAAGAAAATGCACATGAAGGAGAGAGAAATGAAGGCTGTCAGGTAACTATCATAGGCCTTTATGGAGTAGCAGTCTTATTTGATGGTCTTTTAGACATTTACAACTTACTGAGGTTATAATCGGGACTTCTGACACCAATGGGGCCAAATGAAGTTAATAGCAAGACTCATAAACATCTTGTGTTACAGAAAGTTTCTTAGGAAATAAAAAAGCCGTGCTATTACATTGTTCCTTAAAGGTACTGTGTTGGCTTATTGAGGTTTATGCAAGGAAATTCTTTAGGGGATTGCTTGAAATTCAGTGCCACTTTGTTTTTTTTTTCCCCCCAGCAGTCTGTTCACACTCTGGTTATTAATTAAAGAAATAGCTGAATTTATGGCTTCTTACGTGGTTTCTTTTGAGTAAGGGAGCAGGCAGTCTTTGGGAGGTAGAATTCTGACAACAGATTTCTAAAACATTACAAATTATCACTTTAATTATAGTTCATCAGATTTATCTTCGTATTCCTATAACCCAGATTGCCAAACATTTTGTAAAATTTTCTCAAATGGTAGGATGGCTGAATCAATTTAAATAAGCTCAAAGCCCTCGGATATGTTCCAGATAATTTAATCTTCATAGTTTAATTATAGTTATTTGAGACTTGTTTTCAAGGTTTAAGGTTTCTATAGAAGCATTTAAGATGTTCAACTCAGGGGCCAGCTCAGTTAAGTAGGCATTTAATACATCTAAAAAGTAAGTTGCTTTGATGTAAGCACAATTAATATAGTCTATTCAGAAATATTTTAATTTGCTAGAGACCATGTGGGCTTGTTGGAGAGAGAGAAAGAGAAGGAGAGTGAGATAGCACTCCCTCCCTGGGGAGGGTGAGGGCTGGTCACACTGCAATCCCTTCTCCATTACTTCTTTCAGGACTTTAGGTGTGCATCCACATGCACCTGACATATTTTTTAAGCTGCTGGGTCCAAGACTCAAACCGTGCAATCAGCCATGTTAGCTCTTAACCACCATGCCACCAGCTGGTTCTTTATTATTATTAATTAGCTCTTTGTAATCATGTGTGTATATATTTAGAGGTTTTTTGCCTTAAGAGTGTGGCATGTGTGGTTGAAAGAGAGAGACAGAGACAATGAGAGTGAAAGTGAGAAATCACCCCCAGGGAGGATGGCCATGCCGCAATGCCTCCTCCATTCTCCTCCTGGGATCTTGGGCTCATACACACATGTGCCCAATGTGAGTTTTAAGTCACCCAATTTGGGACTCAAATTGCATTTGATCACATGGGAGTTCAACGTAACCACTACACCATCTGCTGGCCCCAATTAATAAACTAATACAATACTATAGAAAGTTTAGAAAAGAAAAAATACTGAATTTCAAGGGGCAAAATGAGGGGAGAAAGTCTTATGTGGGGTTTCGGGTAGCTAACTTAGAATTGGTATTACGTGTGACTGTAGCAGGGCTAGCCTGATGCAAGAGAGATTTCTTGCTTTCTATCCCTCTGTTTCTGTCTCTCTGGTGAGAGTACACGCCCTATAGCAAAAATTTCTCTTTTAAAGACAAAACAAAATTATTGGGATCAGCAGATGGCATAATGGTTATGTTACTGGACTTCCATGTGGTTGACTCTGGTTTGAGTTCTACACCCGGCAGCTTAAAACTCACGCCAGGCGCATGTGCTTGTGTGCCCAAAATCCCAAGAGGAGAAAAGAGAAGGGATTGCAGTGTGGCCATACCTCTTGGGGGGAATTTCTTGCTTTCTGTCTCTGGTGCGCACATGCCCCCCATGGGAAAAATTTCTCTTTTTTTTTAAAAAAACCTGGGGCTGGCAGATGGTGTAGGGGTTAAGGGCAGTTAAGGGGGGTTAATAGCAGTTCTTAACCTTAAAGAGAAATTTGAAATGATCATTATAAAGTGGGAGGGAGCTGTTTACAGTATGCATTCTTGACCAGTAATTGGTATCTAGATAAATATCTCCTACAAACCAGTGAGAGAAGCGGACAAAAGGCTTGATGAGGCCTGTAGAAAAATTGGAAATATATGGAGGGTCAGCATTTTTAGTGATAAGGGAAATAGCAAGAAAGACCAGTGATAAAGTATTTTATACCTATTGGTTTAGCAGTGCACAAATAGATCAAAAGGAAAAAGACAGTTCCCTGATATTAAGAGTAGAAGATGCAAGACCATAAGATAGGCTGTGCTGCTGCTGCTTTTTAAATCTCTAGGGCACTAAGTCGGGTTAATCATAATTCTTGACTCGTGATGCATTACCATCATTGTTATACACATGTCTTTTTTGCTTAGTAAGTAATCCAATTGGTTGGCTATTTTAAATTAGACAATCAAAAGACAATAGCGACAGTTTGTGAAACATTACTTCTCTGTTATTAAAATAATTATCAGGGGAGAAAAGTTTATAAATATGTCTCTGGAATTGTTTGTACCATAGATAATTTTCAATGTTTAGTTTAAGAATCTGAGATCATTTTAACAATAGAGATCATTGCTAATTTCATTTATTTTATTATTTTTAGTTGCTATAAGAGTACATGTGCTTGCTGGAGAGAGACATAGAGAGGTGAGGGCAGGGAGTGAGAAATCACCTCCTGGGGTGATGGCCATACCCAGTCCTTTCTCCTCTGCTCTCCTCTTGGGATTTTGGACATGCATGCACCTGTACCAGCCTCATTTTCTAGCTGTAGGTCTGGGACTCAAACTGCACAGTTAGCCGTGTGCCATCCAGCTCCCTTAAACTCCTTGCAACCTGCCGGCCCAATAATTGCTCATTTTATTCATGAATTTCATTGTGGTTTTTAACAAATTATAGGAGTGTAGTTTACTTATTCAAATTATTAACACAATTTTAAAAGGCAAACTTTTTTTTTTTTATTAATTCACTTTACACCATCACAACACACAAATGAATTTTCCATCCAAAATACACTGCATTGGCTCAATCAAGCACATCCACATACATGTTCTCAGCAAATAATTTTCCAATTCTTACGTCCTGCATACCTTGCTCTTTGTCTTGCCATCCCTGATTCCCCATCCCCCACCCTCTGCTATGTCCCATCTTCCTCCCCCATTGTCCCTGGCATCCATGGTTGCCCTCCAT